TGAAATTCACAACCCACAAGAGGGAAGAATGTGTCAGAGATACAATTAAGACAATTTCACTGAAGAACAGAACTTAAGCCTAAAAATGCATACTGTTTTCCAGGGAGGGGAAATACAAAGAATCCTAGACATCAAGTCATTTTCTGATTAAATGACTAAACTTCAAGGATAAAGAAAGAATCCTCTGTCATTCAAGTGATAATAAAGAAGGAAAAGTGGTTTGACTTCAACAGTTCCTACAGCTCAACAGCATTTATTATCACAAGACAGTTGGGTAATGTGAATAACATTCTGAAGGAATAAAAATGTGGCCCAAGATTATTATATCCAGCCAGTTGGTAATTCAAATATAAAGATAGCAGGCAAGCATTCTCTATCACTCTCTCACCTTTTTTTAAAGAGAGATTTTTGCTATAGGGTATGTGTGCTTACTAGAGAGACACACAGAAATCAACCCCTGGGGGAACGGTGACACCACCGTCCCTTGCCTTTCTTTCTCTCAGGATTTTGGGGATGTACGCAGACGATCCCAGCATGAGTTTAAGCCACCAGGTCCAGGACTTGAACCATGGTCGATTATGTGAGGGTCCAGCAACATAACTATGATGTCATCTGCTGATCCCAGCAGGCAAGCATTATCAAGCAGTAACAACCCAGAAATCACAGAACCTATGAATCTGCAACTTGAACATTAGCTTGAAAATGAAATTCAGCCAACAAAGAGTTCAAACACAATAGAGTATTCGTGGATATTGAAATATGGCAAAATTACTAATGTTGAATACTGAAGTTCTCTAAGTGAAGATCTAAAACCATACAACTGTGAAAACCATGGTAATAGTACATAATGTAAATGAAATAAACCTTGACTCAGTAAAGATAACAATTAATAGAAAATTTTATTGGGAGGAAAATATTAATAGAGGTAAAAACTGCTATTTCCTCATCTTTTATGGTAGTGAATGAACTGATGCTTTCTAAAAATAAAACATGTAGGTAAAGGAGAAAACATAGATTTCTACATCTTAACTTTTTTTGTAATAATGTTTTTAAATAATAGAAGAATCCTTTGGGAAATAATCTTTCTCACATTTATGTGAAGTTAAGACGTTCTTTATCTTCACTTTTGTTTCTTTTTCATTGATTAAAGTAAAATAAACACAGGAGTAAATATTTGTGAGCTTCAATTAAACAACGTTTTCTTAGATATGGCACGTAAAGCATAACCAAAGTGAAAATTAAAACATTTAGTGCTGTGGACACTATCATGAAAGTAAAAATATAACATATAAAATGAGAGAGGAATCTGAATAGGCATTTTCTCCAAAGAAGATATACGAATGGCCAATACACATATTAAAAAACATTCAACATTGGGGCCGGCAAGTGGCACAGTGGTTAAAGGTGCTGGACTCCCACGTGGCCAACCACAGTTCAAGTCTCGGACCTGGTGGCTTGCTTTCTCACTTCCTCTCTCTCTCTGTCTCTTTCTGATCAAACTGGAAAATAATAATGATAATAATAATAAATAAAGTTAAATAAAATAACTCTTTTTAAAAAAACATTCAACATGGTGGACAGCAGATGGTGTGATGGTTAAGGCACTAAATTCTCACATGGCCGACTGCAGTGCATGTCCTGGACATGCTGGGTGCATGTTCCCAAAATCCTGGGAGGAGAATGGAGAAGAAGGCTATTCCCCCAGGTGGTGATCTCTTGCATTCCCTCTCTGTCTCTCCCCTATAAGTGCACACACCCTATAGCAAAAAAAGAAAAAGGAAAAGGTCAACATCATTAGCTATAAGATAAACGCACATCAAAACCATAATAAGATATTACTCTGCATCCTCTAGCGTGGCTCTTATCAAAAAACAAACAGTGTGGGCAAGTATGTGGAGAAATTGGAACTCTCATAAGTTGCTGGTGGGAATGTAAAGGGGTATAGTTGCTCTGGAAAATAACATGGCAGCTCCTCAAAACATGGAACAGAGAATTAGCGTATTATCCAGCAATTCCACTTCTGGGTATATATTATACTCAAAAAAATTGAAAGCAGTAGCTTAGATGTTTATTTATTTATTTATTTATTTATTTATTTATTTATTTAGTTTTGCAGAGGTTTTTGCTATAGGGCGCGTGCGCTCGCCAGATAGACAGAGAGAGACAGAGAGATAGAAAGCGAGAAATCACCCCCCAGGGGGGATGGCCATGCCACAATCCCCTCCCCTCCATTCTCCTCTTGTGATCTTGTGCACGCATGCACATGCGCCCAGCATGAGTTTTAAGCCACTGGGTCCGGGATTCGAACCGCGGTCGACTGTGGGAGTCCAGCAACATAGCCATTACGCTAACTGCTGGTCCCAGATGTTTATACATTAATGTTCATGGCAGCTTATTCACAATATTGAGAAGATGGAAACAACCTAAATAACTAGATACACAAAATGTAGTATATCCACGCAATGGCACAGTCAGCCTTCAAAAGGCAGGAGATTCTGACACATGCTACAGCATGGACGACCCTGGAAGGCATTCTGCTAGGTGAAGTAAGCCAGAAATGAAAAGACAAATCTCGCATGGTCCTGCTTATATGAGGTAGCTGTAGTATTGAATCCATAGAGACAGACAGTAGAACAGTGGGTTGCCAATGGCGAGGAGGAAGGGAGAGTGAGAGTCATCATCCAATGTGTTTAAAATTTCAGTTTGGGAAGATGAAAAAGTTCTGGAGATACAGGGTAGTGATGGTTTCTCAAAAATGTGATTGTACTTATTGCCAGTAAACTGTACACTTACAAATATCGAAGATGGTAAATTTTAAATATAAAACACACAGAACCACACACATGTGCCAGAGGGTGCATGCACATGCAACAGTGAGAGCCAGAGTGAGAGAGATAGAAAAAGAGAAAGTAAGCCCCTGACAGAGCATGCTCACGCTATAATCCTTTTTCTCTAATTCTGCCTCTAATCAGGATCCTGGGCATGGGCCGGGGACAAGACTGGAACCCTGGCAGGCCACGTGAGAACCTGCTTCCTCTGTGCCGTTCTTAACTATTGCTCTATAGGTCTGGCCTGATGTTACATATACCTGTCACGATCAAATTAAAATTAAAAAATGAATGAAGTACTGATAGCCACTACGTGACTGTGAGAAACATGTTAAACGACAGAAAGCCAGACACAAAAGGTCACGTGTTGTATAATTCATTTATGTGAAATGCCCAGCATAGGCAAATCCACAGAGACAGAGAGTAGATTAGTGGTTGCCTAGGGATGAGAGGGAGGGGGAAATGGGGCAGTGACTGCTAATGATTTCTCTGGAGGTTGATGAAGATGTTCTAAAATTAGACAATAGTGATGGTTACTAAAGACCACTGATTTGTATGCTTTTAAAGGGTGAATTTCATAGTATGTGAATTTTATCTCAATAATGTTGCCATTAAAAATTATTATTATTTGAAAGAGATAAAAGAAAAATAAAACGATTTGGTTGAGAGAGATCTAAGAGTTCCATGAGAAGTGAAATGGGAACCTCAAAAGTCATAGAGAAGTGAAATGGGAACCTCAAAAGTCATAGTAAATTTAGCACACTCAACGCTGTGGTATGTTGGTGGAAAGTGACTTTAAGCAGTAGGAATTTGGACTTAACACTCAATCAAGCATATAAGACTTCTGAACCAGTTTTCAAATTGCTTTTCCAAATATATGTACAGGGAGAAATCTCCCTCTCTCCCCCAAAATAAGATGAGAGGAGAAATAGCCATCTACCTGTTATTTTTGTCATACGTGTTCACATTACACATCTACATCCAACATGTAGATAATGTGACTCACAACCACATGTGGTAAAGGTGTGTCATCTATTCGCTATCTGTTAGGAGCAATGTTTTCAGAGCCTCTCGCACTTTGCTGACATTCTTGCTACACACTGCTTGGTCCCACACTCACATGAAATGATGTCCTCTAGCCATTGGATCTCAGATAGTTTTGTGGCCAGGCTGTCTGAAGAGTTCAGCATGGCTTGTGATTAATTTGTTTCTCTATATTTATGGCATACCCACTGTGTTGTGTGCCAATCATGTACTGAGTACTGGTGAAATTAAAAGCATGGGCTGGCCTTTTTGAGTTTATACAGAGTGGAGAAATAGCAAAGAAACAAATCAACTGATAAATGAAAATATAATTATAGATAAAACCATGGTAATGAACAGGGCAAAGTGGTAGAGAATAAGAAGTGAGGTGTCTATCTGGTGAGGTGGAACAATTCTGCGGTTGTGGCATTCCAGCTGAGACTAAAGAGTAAGAAGGAGACGACCTTGCAAAGATAATTCCTTGCACACACACCAGCAGGATTGTTTGGATTTGGTTTTTAAAGTCACTTAAGGTACAACTATCCATATCCTTGTGTACAAGACAGGCTCAATGTCAAATAAGATGAATACATCTCTAGCCTTGATTTGATTATTACATACTGTACACATGCTTTGAAAAACCATACTGTACCCACAAAGATGTATATTGATTATACTTAATAATAATAACGGTGACTTTAGGTTATAGTTTGCCCCAAAACTATAGGGAGATCACCCTCCCTGAAACACTTTTTGTGTCCGCGTCCTTAATTTCTAACTATCTCTATCACATTAAATTACAAATCTTTTTTCTACTCTTTTTTTCATTATTTATGATAAGGACTTTTACATGGGTGGGGGGAGGGAGGGAGGGAGAAAGAGAAAGAGAAACACCCTCTACAGGGACTGATCATACTACCGTCCCCTTCTTCCAGTCCTCTAGCCATTGGACCTTAGGCACCTACAGGCATGCCCAGCGTGTTTCAGGCCTATAAGGCTGGAGATTTGAACCGTAGCTGCCATGTGGGATTCAGCTTCTCTTGAGTAGCACGTTGCCGCAGAGCTGGCCCTTTTCTATTTTCTCATATTGGCACAAGCTACATCCCCTCTAATTGTACATCACGGACTCACAGAGAACCTATCCATTACCTGGGAAAGAATCAACTGCCCATGGAATGTGTGCACAAATTTTCTTAAAAATGAAAAATAGGCTTCCTCTCCAAGTCTTCTGGCAAGGAACCGAAGAAGAAAATAGCCCTAGAAGAAAGAAAAAAAATAATAAAGGGAAAAAAAATATGCTTGCTTCTTACAGAAATGCTTATGGTCAACTCAAACTTACCCACCAGTGCACTCACTGTGGACATCTAGAATGTTGCCCTTTATATTCTGACCAGGAAGGCTAGTCCTGGAAATTAAGGATGGACTATTCAGCTTTCAACTCCTTTGTTAACATTATTGCCCTCTGTGCTTTTGACTTGGTTCACATGAAGCCTGGCCATCCACCATGGACTAAATGAGAAGAGAGTCTGAGATCCTCTCTACCTCAGCTATGAGAAAAGGCCTTCAAAATAATATAAGCAAGCCAGTCAACAGCGTAGTGATTAAGAGAGCCAGATCATACACAGTTGATCTGGTTCTGAACACGTTTCTAATCTTGGTCCTTGTGGCTTAAAAAATATGCTGGACGTATATGTGTGTGTGTGTGTGTGTGTGTGTGTGTGTGTGTGTGTGTATGGGGGGTATGCTCAAAATCCTGACAAGATAGAGAAATGGAGAAGAAGGGACTGTAGAGTGACCATGATCCAATGGGGGATGCTCGCGCTCGCTGTCTCTATATCTCCCTCTCCCTCTCTCTGGCAAGTACATTCAACTCTGGCAATCGGGGCGGGGGGGGGAACGACAAGAGTAATAGGATGTGTTTGAAGTCGTTGTTATTGTTCTTTAATTGCCAGAGGGTATACGTGCTCACTGGAGAGAAAGAGACAGGGGAAGAAAACACCCTTCAATGGGGTGTGGTCCTATCACGATCCTTTCTCCATTTTACCATCCTGTTGAGATTTTGGGCATGCTCACACACACGTCCAGTGTGGTTTCTAAGCTACTGGGCAGAGATTGGAACCTCAGCTGACCAAGTAGTACCCTGCTCCCTTAACTACAAAGTTGGGCTACTCCTGTCTTCTAGTTGGAACCCAAGAGCTCTTCTAAGCTGACCTGAAGAGAGGAAAAGGGGGGCAGAAGTCAGGGAATATCGTAACTTCTTTTGATTCATGCCCCTAATGTGGCCTCATTTTGGGGGGTACACACTGCTTTGCTTATTAGATACTCAGATCTGCCCAGTCACATGTCATTACAATGCTGATAGTATTTTGTTTTGCCTCAGCCATGTCATTCATTTTCACCGTTGAATTGTATAACCTAAAAAATTGCTGCACTGTAATAACTAGTTCCTGCCGCTCAGATGCGCTCACCTTTAAATAATGAACCTGCATGAAGGTCTTCTCTGGGTTGAGCCCATGCTTGATAACAGATGCTCCTGAATCACTCACATGGCCAGTTTTCTCTTTACTAGGCCTAAAATGAAGGAGGAACAATTTCTTTAAGTACCGAACATTCTTTTTTTTTTTAAATTTAATTTATTGGTATTATTATTATTATTAATTTACTTTTTTAGAGAGATTTTTGCTATAGGATGTGTGCACTCACCAGAGATAGGTGAGAGACAGAGAGGCAGAAAACATGAAATCACGTCCTGGGGGATGGACACATTGCAATCCCTTCTCCCAAGATTTTGGATATGCACGAACACATACCCGGTGTGAGTTTTAAGCCACTAGGTCCGGAATTCAACCCACAGTTGACTACATGGGAGTCCAGAGACATAACCATTACGTCATCTGCTGGTCCCTTTTTATTTTTTTAACTTGACCAGAGAGAGACAGAGAGTGAGAGAGGGGGGAAAGTGAGAAAGCAAACTGCCAGGCTTGGGACTTGAACTGCAATCAACCATGAGGGAGTCCAACGCCTTAACCACCAGGCCATCTGCTGGCCCCAGTACTGCATGTTCTTAATGAAAGCATATCTTATTTCTTATTTTCATAATTGCTCAACAGCATCTTAATTCTATTTAGTAGTACCAGGTATGATTTAAAACAGTTTAGATTATAAATTCACATAGTGAACAAGGTGGGGTTCATATTTGGGTTGGCAACCTAAGGTGGGCTATTGGTAATATTTTATATCATCTATCCAACAATGAGGCCTGCCAGACCCTCAAGGAATCTAAGCTTCAAAATGAATTATTTAAGAACCTGTACCCTTTTATTGTGGTAATGATGAACTGAGAAATGCAATGGAAAATGTAGCTTTACTTGGAAGAATAAAAAAACTTATATCTTTTCCAAAAATTTTTGAAAGCTCCAATGTTATCCACTTCTCTGGATTTGCATTTAATAATTAATGTTCCTTTAAGAAATAATTGTACTCTGAACCGATTTTAGAATCAGAAAAACAAAACCAAAAAAGTCACAGATACTTGTGTTTTAGGTAGGGATATTAGTGGTCACATATTTCAACCTCTTCATTTTACAAATGTGGAAAACTGAGACACACCTAAGTTAGGTAAACACACAAGGTCTTGGGGCTTGTTTTGACGTGTGGAGATACTAGGACGGAAATCGCTGTCTCGCTATTATCCCTCAGGATGTTTTCTACCATGTTCTATGGTTTTCAATAATTTAAAATGTTTCTTAACTAAAATAAAATAGATCCTTAGAGCCCTCTAGTAAAACTGTGTGTATTGTGTTACAATAATGCCTCAGTAACTGGCTACAATCAAAGTAACGGCAAAGTATTTGCAACATGCAGCCATTGTAAAACCAGTCACTCCCTGGCTCAATGTTGGGGAGCACGTGTTGAGGTGTGGGAAGGCACGGAGCATGAGGACGGCACATCAGAAAGCTAGGGTTTCTTTCAAAGAGGGGCATGGTGTAGTACGAGGCACTCAGCCTTTGGAATTTGAGAACCCTAGCTTCAAATATCCTCTTTACTTCTTACTACCTGTTGCTTATTAGCAGGTTACTTACATTTATTTACATAAAATGGAAATAATCTTACCTACCTTTTCAGGGTCTATGGAGAAAAACTGAAACTATTTATTACAAAGCCCCTAGCAAAGGCCAGGGATATAAAAATCCCTCAATGAACTTAATAAAAATTTGCAATTATTTTAGCGTGCACATGCACATACACACACACACACACACACACACACACACACACCCCTGATTAAGTCTTAGCTAAAGATCCCATATAGTGGTGTCCTGTGGCAGGCAGGTGAACTGTGAAGAGTTTGCTGAGTTCCAGATCTCTCTGAGCTATTAAAACATCCAACAGTGCTAGGGCAAGGAGGTGGCACAGAGGTTGGGGCAGCTGGATTTTAGATGGCCGACCGCACAATTTGAGTTCTGGATCCAGTGGCTTGAAAAAGCGCCAGGTGCATGTGTGTGCGTGCCAAAATCCTGAGAAGAGAATGGAGGAGAAGGGATTGTGGCATTAGAGATCATCCCCCCAAGAGGAATGATCTCTTTCTCTCTCTCCCTCCTCATGGAGCACACACACTCTATAGCAAACTTAATGACAACAAAAATCCAGTAGTGCTGAAAGAACACTGATCTTTCTTTTGGACGGTCAGATAAGATGAATTACTCAAGGTGATGAGGACAACTGATGACAGAATAGCACATGAATTAAAGGCTACGGTTCCGACGGCTGCCTCTGCAGGGAAAAGAGATGGCAGCTAAACTTGCAAACAACTTTAGAGTCTTTGATGGCAGCTCATGCTAGTAGGGACACACTCATAAAAAACCGTATAGCTCAGACCTCAACAGTAGTAAAAAGCCTCCCAGAAAGAGAGAGAAAAGAATTTGGATGATTTAACATTATTAAAGCAACCTAGGAAAGAGCAGACAAAGTTGAAATGGATGCAATCAAAACTGAATGTTGAAGAAATTATAAATGACGGAAGCGGGAAGGTGTTTAACGAATGCTGCAAATTCACTTTAAGCTTCCAAAGAATGAATAAAAATATATATATATATTTTAAGTATCTGGTCATCTCCTAAGAGCTAAGCACGATAGACATCAACAAGGTGGGCTTGCTAGGATTTCTGAACCAATAGTCCAAGACCTTTTGTTGAGTTCAGCCCCACTTAGCCAAGATCTCAAATATAAACAATTCTAATAATTATGGAGAAAATAATTGCTGTTTTATAACGATTCTGTTTAAAAAGTTTTATAACTATTAAAATACTTTTCTGAAAGAAATAAAGTCTTAACTAAATTTGAGGGGATTTCAAAAAGTCCATGGTGGGGGGAGAATGCAATTAATAATATGAGTTTATTTTAGTGTGGAAAAAAATCTATGCAGTTTTTTTTTCCCCACAGTACACATTTCCATGAACTTTTTGAAGACCCACTGTATTCTGGTACCTCATGCTGGCAGACACAAAAACCACCACACACCTAAAGGAGGATGACAAGGACCAGCCATTGGAGCTAAGTTTCCATTTTACTTTATGGACGCTGACCTACCTACATGCCTACACTTGGAATAACTGGTCCTTTTCATCTTCATTTCAGATGCCACTGAAAAACAACAGCTTTGTTGCTGCTCTTCAGTGTGGCCCAGTATAGGGTTTTCAGACAGGAAGCTCCGCCAACTTTGATTAGGGAAGCCCACCTCCCATGGCCTGGGGAACAAAGTCTTCTCAAATGTCAGCCTAGGGCAAGATAGTGATGTGGCGATAAAATGACACTCTGTAAGGCAGAACCTTTCTACAGGAAAGGTTGCTGGTTCAAATCTGGAGACCTCCCTGAGTATGCTGGGCATGTGTGCACCCATGACCTGGGGCTGGCCTAGCCTGGGATGGCGTCAAGACCTTGTCGAGGGGGCTTTCTCTGTCTCTCCCTTGTGCACACGCATGTGTATTCCCTTTGGCATTAAATAAAATTTAAAATAAGAGTCTGCCTGAATTCAAACTGGGTGGCCCAGCCCAGACAGAGAAGCAGCACATTTCTATGCCCTGGCACTCTGGATGGAGACTACTAGAACTAGGGAGTGAAGAAGACAGAAGGGTGAAGTCAATATCCCCTTGGAGTGCTGGCTGCCAGGCTCCAGTTTTTTTTTTTTTTTTTTTTGAGAGGTTTTTTCACTATAGGGCGCGTGTGCTCGCCAGACAGACAGAGAGAGACAGAGAGACAGAAAGCGAGAAATCACCCCCCAGGGGGGATGGTCATGCCGCAATCCCTTCTCCTCCATTCTCCTCTCAGGATCTTGGGCATGCACGCACACGCGCCCGGCATGAGTTTTAAGCCACCGGGTCTGGGACGTGAACCGCGGTCGACTACGTGGGAGTCCAGCGACATAGCCATTAAGCTAACTGCTGGTTCCCTCGAGAGAGTTTGTTTAGAGTAACAGTGTGAGAGGCGGGAAGGACTATGGTAGACCCACTTTGGCTCAATCTACTCCCACTTTCATCTACCTTCTTTCTTGACACCTGTGAAATTAAATCTGACTGAAGGCTCATTTTCCAAGTTGCACTTGAAGCTATGAATAGGCAAGAGACTTGTCCAGGCCAAAGAGAAAAAAGCAGGTGCCTGCATGGTTGGAGATGTGGTTTGGTAAAACTTTTGCTTTCCTTACAAAAGGGGAATATATGATTGCTACTGCACCTCTTCCCACAAACATGGCAGATGGATCTGCAGCAGCAATCTTGTCACCATGAGGCAGAAAACAAACACGGATGGAGAGCAAAAGAGAATGAGAGAAGGTAAACAGTCTTTGATGGCATCATTCTGTTCCTGGTCAGCCTGAGACTACCTCCCTTTTGAATTATTAGGGGAGGGTAAATAATCGCCATTTAGTCAACACCACCTTTCTGTTCCAGTAGCTATAGCCAGATTCATTCCAAATGGGTGGGGAATTGGACTGGTACTAACAGCTAACTTTTCCTGATTACCCTCTGTTCTCTGTCAGGTCCTCTGCCAAGCCCTTCTCAGGCATCATGTTCCTTCCCCTCATGAGAACCCGATGAGGCAGTGAGGCAAGTACTGTGATTATAACCATGTAAAAGTTGAGGAAATGAGGCCTACGTAAGACCACTACGCTGTTAAGTGGTAGTCAAGGCTGGAACCCAGGTCCACAGAACACCAAGGTCCTCACTGTACTCAGGGGCCTCCCCAAGATCCGGACTCCTATCTAGGCTGTGCAGAATGCTGAGAAGAAAACCTGGGACAGTTGCTTACTTTTTGTGAAGCTCTGCCTCCCCACCTGCACGAAGGTTCAGATAGGGTAGAAGCACTTTGTGAATGTGAAAGTGTTAATCATCTCTTAGACATTACAGTCAAATATTTATTTCCTTGGCTGGCATGCACGGAATGCAACAGATCAAGTTTCCAAGGTCGTTTGGGCTCAAATGCCCTTGGTCTCCCTTGTACCTGGCACTCAAGGCAACAATAAGGCTGACGTGACCTTTCCCTTCCCTACCGCCTGCTTTTCCACTGCACCCACAGGA